GGACATAACAACACAATGAAGTTGAGGAATGTTTATTTGACTCCATATGCATATTGATAGTTTGTTTAGACTTCAATCTGACTTCAATCATGACTATTGTTCATCTATTATTGTATTTATTTATTTACAAATTAAATAAAATCATAAAATGTCAGAAAAAATTAAAACATGTTTCACTTTCTCCTAGTCCACTTCCCCAATTTCCTCCTACTTTCCTTTCACTTTTATCATATCCCTCATCACATAAACAAAAAAGATAAATACTTATTATGAACATGTGAATGGTATAGTTTCTTAAATTAGATCCACATACATACCATAGCTTCCAATCTCAACTCACCAGGTTCTCTTTCTCTCTCTATCCATCTTTTCACTTCACTCTAAATTTAATTACTTTTCATTATTTGAAGCTACCCCTTTATCTAAATTTTCCATTTTTTGATTACCCTTTTTCTTCTTTCTCTGTTTCATCTTTTTCAGCAGCTCAATCTCATAGGGAACCCATGACTCCAACATTCAACAACCCACTCTCCGAAATATCTCCGTCTCCGTCACCGTCATCAGCGACGGCGCCGGCTCTGGTATTATCAAACTCCGGCAAGAGAATTGACCAAACTGGGAAGAAGAAATACGTGAAGCAAGTAACGGGTCGCCATAACGACACAGAGCTTCACTTAGCTGCTCAAAGGGGTGATGTTGGTGCAGTGAAGCAGATCCTTCTTGATATTGGGTCTCAGATAATGGGAACTGTGAACGATGATGGTGGTGATGGTGATGTTGATGATCTTAAGGCTGAGATTGCTGAAGTTCGCGCTAGTGTTGTGAATGAAGAGAATGAACTTGGAGAAACTCCTCTTTTCACTGCTGCTGAAAAAGGACACCTTGATGTTGTTAAAGAGTTGTTGAACTATTCTACTAATGAAACCGTTTCAAAGAAGAATCGATCAGGGTTTAATCCCTTGCATATAGCTGCTAGTCAAGGACATCATGGTAGTCGTTAACTCTTTCTTTCATTTCTTGCTCTTTTTCCTCTTATTTATGTAGCAATTTGTATATTCATTACCGTTTTTTGGGGGTTGTTTGATTCTGGATTGACCAAGTATTTGAGGATATTGGAGTTAGTTTTGTAGTATGAAGTAAGTGGAAGAACCTTAGCATATGAGATAGATATGTCATATATCAACCAAGTTAGATGAGCTGTTATATGTTGTTGGTCAAGTTACTAATTAAAGAAATTTAATTGTTATGCTATTGATGATGATCTTGTTGAAAGGAAAATCAATTATCTTGTTGTGTTGGTTGTTCTGATTGTGAGTGAATTTGGTTATTCTTGTTCACTTGTTCTGGTCCAAATTGAACTGACCAAGTAGTTTAAGGATATAAGAGTTAGTTTTGTACTCATTTTTTTTGGAAGATATCTTTGCTAAGAACTGTGCGGGATAAACTTAGTATATGGGAGTAGATTTATGATGTAGATTAGGCCCAGCCGTTTAGCTTTATATCCAGAGCTTTGATTTGTACAGTTAGGGTTTTAATTTGGGGTCTAAACTACAGATATCCTCCACCAAACGGAGGCAATCCTGCTCCACCCAGGTAGGACCACTATGGGCGGGAAAGCTCTTCCTACCAAATGCAGCTGCATTCCCAGGGGCTCGAATTTGGGATTATTTTGTTATTTACGGAATTTCATTCCATTTCCGACTATCTTATTCCAACATAGAATATGGGTAGTTTTTAATTTATTTTGTCTTTTTAGACCTTCAGTATAGACATTTAGTTAGTTTTGCTGATTAATGAATAACTTAATATTTGATTTCCCAAATTCTGTGAGCATCTGAAACTTGATTTGGAAGAGCAATCTGCTCTAGAACCCGGGAGTACCCTGCCAAGAGGATCAATCTTGGAGTTACCTTCTACAGCTATTTGTCATTTACAAAACAAGTTATATGACCTGTTATGCTGTTCGTCAATATATCAATTAGAGGAAAATTATGATATAACAGATATAATAGGGGGTAGAAGATGTGTATGAGGTCATTATCATATTCATTGTCCGTGGATTTATAGTACGTGGAGAAACCTGCCAGATTTGTAGATAGAAGAACAATATTTGTTTGCACTCTTAACTTAATGTCTGCCTTGTTTCCCTAGGGATTTGCATCAGTTTCTGCTCATCTAGTGTCTTTCATAAAGATGCTAAAATTTTGTGGCAGTGTGCTGTGTTTTGGTGCTTATGGTTGGAAAGGAATACCTGACTCTTCAATGGAACTTCTTCTTATGTAGATAACATTTGGGATAGGGTTATTTTATTGGCTTGTTTATGGTGTTCAGCCTTTGGTTTCTTTAGAGTTGTTACTTTGTTAGATATGTAGAGAGATTTACTTGCCCTACTACATGAGCTCCTAAGTACTTTTTTGTTGTCTTAAGAGAACTTGTATAGAGTTTGGGTTCATTTGTGAATTGTTTTTTCGTTGGAGCTTTATTTATATCTATCTCACTCTCTGTACTCTTTTTGTTTAGTTTTTATTTTTTTAGGGAGGATGTCTTATCCTCCTTCCTTGTAATCCTCTTCCTTCGTAATGTATCTCTTTCTCTGTAAAACATAATATCTGGCTTATTTGGGTTCTGACTGTCTGGCTAATCGGCCTAATCCTATATGATGTGAAACATTGATTTGTTGGTGTATGATGTTCTCATCTCTGAATGTAATTTACTGTGAGAACTTTTTCTTTTCATCCAGTAATCCATAGTAAAATTTCATTTGCAGCCATTGTTCAGGTTTTACTAGACTATGATCCAGGATTAAGCAAAACAATTGGTCCATCCAATGCCACTCCACTTATAACTGCTGCAACAAGAGGCCACACAGAAGTGGTGAATGAATTGCTGTCAAAGGACAGTAGCTTGTTGGAAATCGCTAGATCCAATGGTAAAAATGCATTGCATTTAGCGGCTCGTCCGGGTCATGTAGATATTGTAAAAGCCTTGCTCATTAAGGATCCACAATTGGCACGGCGGACTGACAAGAAAGGGCAGACTGCATTGCATATGGCTGTAAAAGGGCAAAGTTGTGATGTGGTGAAATTGCTTCTTGAGGCTGATGCTGCTATTGTTATGCTTCCTGACAAATTTGGTAACACTGCATTACATGTTGCTACCAGGAAAAAGCGAGTAGAGGTATGTCATAAGTTTGCACAACTTTACAATTTACAAGCACCAACACCATACATGTGTAGGATGAGGTAATAGTAATTTAGTTAGTTGAGCAAATGGGGTTTACACCACATGGATAGAGATAACTTATCCCTAGTAGTAAAATACTTGAGTCTTATGTGCCCTATAGCTGGATTAGTGTACTAATACCATATCCTAGAATCATTGTGCTTCTTAATATGCTAACGAGGCTAAATTTACATGCAACCCCAACCCCAAGAATAATTTTTAAGCATCTATTATAGTCCTTCAAAAGGAAAATATAATATTGTGGCTTCTCATTTTCCTGCACAGATAGTGAATGAGTTATTAAATCTGCCAGATACCAATGTTAATGCATTAACCAGAGACCACAAAACAGCCCTTGATATTGCTGAAAATCTTCCCCTCTCTGAAGAATCGTCAGAAATAAAGGACTCTCTCACTCGATGGGGGGCACTTAGAGCTAATGAGCTCAATCAACCGAGGGATGAACTGAGGAAAACTGTTACTCAAATTAAGAAAGATGTTCACACCCAGCTTGAACAAACCAAGAAAACCAACAAAAATGTTCACAATATTTCCAAAGAGCTAAGAAAACTCCACAGGGAAGGAATTAATAATGCTACAAACTCGGTGACAGTGGTGGCTGTGTTGTTTGCTACGGTTGCTTTTGCTGCTATATTCACTGTGCCTGGTGGGGATTTTGATAGTGGTACTGCAGTGGTTGCAACAGGTACTCCTTTCAAAATCTTCTTCATCTTCAATGCTATTGCACTTTTCACATCTTTGGCTGTTGTGGTTGTTCAAATTACCTTGGTTAGAGGTGAAACTAAAGCCGAGAAAAAGGTGGTGGAGGTGATTAACAAGCTGATGTGGTTGGCTTCTGTGTGTACTTCAGTAGCATTTATTGCATCTTCTTACATAGTCGTCGGTCAGAAGAACAAGTGGGCTGCGATTCTGGTTACAGTAGTTGGAGGAGTCATAATATCTGGAGTTATTGGGACAATGACCTACTATGTAGTGAGGTCTAAGAGAATGAGATCAATGAGGAAGAGGGGGAAGAGTACTAGGAGGAGTGGATCCAACTCATGGCATCATTCTGATTTTTCGAACTCGGAGGTTGATCCAATTTATGCTATTTGATTTTGAACTTGCAAACCTTGGTGGATCAATGAAGACCAAATTATGGTGAAAAAGACATGTGACTTGTTGCTTTAAGAGTTCATCAAGAAACTCTAATGCTTGCATATTATGTGCACTCTACAGATTTGTTTATTCTGAGTCTGAGCTGCTATTGTAGGATTATGACAAATTGGATGAAACCTTGATCATTATTATAACCATTGAGTGGTGCTTATGCCCAGGTTGTGATCTTCAGGAACAATATGCAAACAGTGCTTTAATTCTCAATTTATGTATTAATATAATATCAAACAATATATTCCATCCCAGTTTGTTGTTGATTGTTTTTTTGTTACACAAAACAATGTCAAAAAAAGGCACAGTAAAAGAAAGAAAGAAAATCACAGTTCTACAAATTCCAACATGGTGGTGAATTTTCTATAGTCATAATGTGATTGAATAAAAATTCCAACATCATAGGTATAATAGCAGCCTAGGTGAAAACAGCAACATGTGCATCCACATCTCAACTTTACTTTTGAGAGTTGTAAAGTGTGACAGACCAACAATGATCAGTGTAATAACAAAATTAAATAATACCATTGGAAGAATATAGTAAATTCTAATGCAACTTGAATTTGATGACGAAACACCCTGATAAATTCTTCTGGAAAGAGAAACAAAAAAGTGATGGTCCAGTGGCTTGATTCACCAGGCATTGTGGGATAAGAGTGCAGTAGCCTGTGATCCTTCAACTGTCAAGAGCCAGAGGTGTTCGCTGCTCTGTGAAACCAGCCTCACGCTGTGCCCTCTCGTCTAGGAGTCATGACACCTGAGTCTTCACCCAAGTAACATGACTCAACTCTCGGCTTTGAATGGGCAAGCCAACATGGAGCAACCCACCCCAACCTAGAAGAATCATAGCCATGTTCCATCACCTATGCCCCCACTTGGGTTACAAGCTAGAGTTACCCAGCTCGGCAATCTCTCATGCTTGTCAAAAGCTTATAAAGACTAATTCATACTAAAGATTGCTCTATGTGGGACTAAGCTAAGGTTGAAGTTTACAACAAAAATAGTTTATGAAGGTGTAATAACGCAGCCACTTACACTCGTATTTTTTATCATGCCACATCTTTTTCTCTCTTCTATTCTATAACCATTAACCTGATTCATCAACAAAAAATAACAGTTCTGTTTTGATTTACCACTGGAAAGAGTCTTTTGTATTATTTCAAAACCTTTGTAAAAGTGTATAATATATATACTTCACTCTTTTGCTTTCTTTAGCTCCAAACTTGTGGTGACATTTTCACTTAATTTAAGGAATGGTATATAACCAACGCACCTATAAGATAAATAAAAAGAAATGGAAAAGAACCACCTGAAAAGCTGTTTGTCATCTTGTCTGGATTGAAGGATTTCTTTATAGGACAATGTCTTATAGTTTCCAATGAAAGAAGACAAGTGGGTTTCCACAATCATGATCATTATTACTCTCAAATCTCAATCTTTTATGATTAGTAACATAGTTGGGGCCTAACACATTATCTATGTAAAAAATATTTATTTATTTATTTGAGAAAATTGGTATATGACAAGACAATTGCATATTAATAGTTGCATGTTCCACTTCAACATTTGAGTTGTGATATTCACATTAATCTTTCACTCATTAGGAGGGTGGGCAAAGTAACTATTTCAATTAAACCATATAAAATCAAAATATATATGGTTTGATTTTCATACTAATTCAAAAACAATTTTAGTTCAGTTGCACTTCTAGTTTCAGATACACATATAGTTCTGGTTTTAGTTCCAATATCAGTTTTGGTTCTATTTATAAAAAAACAAAACTACTTCATAAAGCATAGCCGTAACTGGGTTTAGAATTGGAACCACAGCAACTCTTGTAACTAAAACAGAAATTGTGTATGAAATTGTAACCATAACTGGGTGGAACTAAACTGACTTTGGAACTAGTTCAGTTTGAAAAACCAAACCATATATTTTGGTTTTATATAGTTTAGTCTGAAAAGTGAATCATACCTATCTTGCACTTGTAATTTCATTTTCATGATTGACATTATTGTGCACATTGAAAGTGGAAAGTCAACACTACCAGTTTCCTAATATAGAAGTGAAATTTCTATACAAGTTATATACATATATATATATATTGAGGATCTTTTACTTACTGTTCCATGTGATATAAAATCCACATGAAAATACTATGCTCAAAGAATTTACTAATAAGAAGCCTTGGTTAAAACAAATACATACAAAATGTTATATAGACAAACTTCCACCAGATTTTGATGCTTTGGTCTAATAATTATCCATCACAAACACACATTTTATACACATACTTAATAAGCATTGATTAAAAGACTTTTACTTTGGAAACAAGAATGGTAAGCAACATATGATTAGGATTTAATTGAAGTAATGATGCCATAGAAAAAAGGGTTGAGATAAACATTTTCCATTTCAAAAGTTTGTACTAGTGATTTGGAGCTATCTTTCATCAAATTGGAAAGGCAATGTAAGAGGTAACATAGTTAAAGCTACTTTTGTGTACTCCCTTTTGGCCTATTCTATCAACCCCTGCAAAGATTCTCTCTTTCTTGATCCTCACAGACTGAGTTTCTGGAAGCAGATAATGAGTAGAATCCTACTTCACTTGCATTCTTATTTGAAGAGAATATTTACTGAGACTTTTTGCAATGTGCAATTGCTCCTTGGATGGAATTTTCTATCTCTGAATTTGCACTGCTGCACCTTTTCAGAAACTGACATTCATATGATTTGTTTGAAAGTGAGAATGAAGTTGAACCTGATGATGATGATGACGACGACGATGATGTTGATGACTTGTTTCCTGAAAGAAGTTTGATGCCAACTGAGAATGACCTCCTATGTTGATTACTTCCATACTCATTGGTCTTTTCTTTGTAGCTTCTCATGACAGAATTTGAGGGCATGTATTTGTCCCTATGAATTTGGCCATAAGGGGTTTTATTTGCCACTACTTGCACATGCTTATTTATATTTCCTCTGGCTTTTGAAACTGAACATTCATCAGCAACTTTTGTTGAGGTTGCATAGGATTCATATGAGCAACCAGATTTTCCAAACAAAGACTTGAGATAAGCCCTTGAAGCCTTCAACTTTGATCCTAGTGATGACTGCTTTAGCTTCTTGGTCCATGACTTCTTCTGGTTTTCAACCACAAATTCACTTGCATGATTTGTTTGGTAGTTAAGGTTATAATACTCTTCAGGGCTTAGTTCTCTACTAACATGGCAAGACTCATTTGGTGAGATATTGCATGATTCAAAAGGGGTGCCTGTGATTGGTGAAAGGTTGGTAATAGTGCTTAAAGGGGTGCTATAGAACTCTTCAAACACATCATTTTCCATATCAAAAGGAGTGTTCGTGGAGTTTTGCAAGATTTTTTCTACCATTTGTAAGCGAGGGGGAAGGTGAAGAGGGAGAAGTTTTCCTTTGTAGAAAAGTTCATCAGCTGGAGAAGTTGTTGGTTCTTTCTCTTGAACAATAGAAGCCATTTGGAATTCAAATTCTCTAGGATGTGAATGAGAGTTTTCAGAATGACAGAAGAAGTTGGAGTATGAGGTAACCTCCATGTCAATGTAATCATCATCAGCATTATCACATGCTAGAAACTTTGAAGCCATTTCAGCTTTTCAGGTACACTACAACACTCTAGTATTTGACTTTTCTTCCTCTGTGGGATAGTAGCTAATGGTAACTGAGAAAATAGAAGGGAAGTAATGCTTTTAAAAGGGTAGAGAATGACATAACAATGAAGCAGAAATATAAATAATAATCAACTTTTAGATTTTTTAATTGACATAACATGTTTTCATTGGTACAAGACAAGATTTGAGATATAGTTTGGTACAACTGATATCTGAAGCATGGTGACATAACATGGTTTGGAGTTAGTGGTACTCTAGTTTTATTTTATTCATTTTTTTTACATTTTCTAGAATATATCTTGTCTTGTCATTACTGGAGGAGCTTGCTTGTCTGCTAACATCCAAATGCAAAATTAAAACTTGATTATTAATTTTGTTATGGGGGGAAGCATTGACCCACAGAACATAAACTTTGTGGCTTATGTCTCATTGGGATTGCCATTTTTATACTATTACTTTTGCTAATGGTAACTAGCATGATTTCCATTACTTAGTTTCTTTAGAAATCAGTGATGATAGAAACTGACAAAAAAAATGTAACATGGGCTAAGGCTAGTTACTAGCTGTAGTGTATGTAATTGGCATGAGAAAGTCTTCTTCTTATAAACCTTGAATTAACATATTACATGATGATTGTAGCTAGCTATTAACTTGGTTTCTTTGATATAGTAGAATATATAGAATTCAATTAACTGAACCTTAAAAGAAGGCAAATATATTAACTTTAAAACCTTCAGTACAATTTTCTGAATGTGTTATTAAAAGCAGAAGGGTGTTGCACCAAAGTTATATCCTGGTCTGGTAGTAACTAAAATATTTGTCCTAGTCTCATAATGTGACTGAAGAAAAAAAAAGGTCTATGAATTGAAGAGCCATTTTTTGGAATCTTTCTCAACAATTACAAATTCCCATAGAAGCAAACCCAGTTTTCTGAACATGATGTGTCTCATGGCATGTCTTTCTGCATTCATATCATTATATGATATACAATTCATTGTGATGTAGTTCATTGCACCAAAGTTAATCTAATCAAAGAAAAAGGACAACACTTCCTGTCTGCACTTGATTAATGTCATCAACTTCCATGTATTACACTCTTGCACTTTTTTTTACTGAATTCCTGGTTCTCTTTTATGTTTTAAACACACTTTAGCTTTACTTTTGCACATGTGGTTTAGTACTAGAAACATTGACATCATTTTCATCATCCTTTTCTAATTATTCCTGTCTCTATTTATTATGCTTTTCTTATCTGCATCTATGTTTATTAATATAATTATGAATATTTAAGTAGTAATGTGAGTGAATAAAATATAGCTAGTGAATACAATGAACAAGATTGAGATAAGAAAGAGGTAACACTATGACCCGACAAATAATGGTGGGAGAAGGAAACTGAGCCCGGAATGCATGCAAAGCTCAAGACTTTGGTTATATTCCTACCTACTTTTTTGGGTTTATTTCCTTTTCCAATTTTTAGTCACAACCTCTCTTTTCTCAACTTTTGTTACAGATTCTTTTTGTTAATGCCATGAATTTAATTCTTATTACCACCTTAAATTACTAGCCTTTTGAGAATACCAACATTTCATTATGTTCTTCTTGTTGCTGATATTTTTCATTCCTCAGCTATCTCCACTCTAGCAAAATATAAATATTAAAAATAAACTATTTATCTAACTAACTACTACTTAAGGCCAACATAAGACAAAATGTTTTTAAAAAATAGGGACAACCTAAAAAAAATTGTAGGAACTGAAACAAAGAATCCACTAAGTTAAAAAAAAACATTTTATGAATGGAGTTGTTGGGTAGAGGAATTATTTATACAAGTAACAATAACGGAATTAACAAAATGGAAGAGTGCATTGGCAGCAACTACAAAATTCAAAGTTTTGTTGGTTTGCAATTTTGCAATAATGGCCAAGTCCTCTAGTAAAAACTGGTACTACTAGGAGATAACAGATAAGGGTTAATGGTGTGCATATAATTTATTTTATTTTCCACCAAAAAATATTAGTTATTTTTACATGAATCGAGTGCATGCAAAATAAAAGGGGAAAAATTGGGCACATTCTTATAAAATGGAAATGAGAACTGATTATCCTAAAATTATCCTCAATTGTAACTGAAAAAATAAGAAAAGAAAACTGATTATCCTAAGTTCAAATTTACAACCAAACTGTTTATTCACATCATTTGATAACAGCTTATTACAAATTCAGTACTTTACATAAGAATCAAGAAACTATACTCTTCA